TAAGTGTCTGAGGGACAGATTTGAACTCAGGAACATGAATCTTCCTGACTCCAAGTTCAGCATTCTATCCACTGCGCCACAGAGCTGCCCCAATAAACCTAAAATAAAGCTAATTATCTTTCCCCTCAAACCATCCCTTCTTCCAAACTTTCCTATTACTGTTGAGGATACCACAATCACTCAGGCTTACACCATAGGAGTAATTCTTGACTCTTCACATTCACCCCAAATATCCACTATGTTACCAAGCACCTCTCCTATATGACCTCTTCCCTTCACTCACACAACCTTGTGCCTGGACTATTATAATAGCCTACTGGTTGGTCTACCTACCTTATTTGTCTCCCCATTCCTAAGTGATCTTCCTAAACTTAAGGTCTAACCATGTCACTTCCCTACTATAAATACTCTAGTGACTCCCTTTTGTAAAAACCTTCACAATCAAATATAAAATCCTGTTTGGTTTTTAAAGTGCTTCATAACCTGGTCCTTTCCTTCCTTTCTACTCTTATCACATCCTATTCCCTTTCCACATACCCCTACAATCGAGCAACACTGACTTCCTCACTATTCCCTACATATGACATTCCATCTTACAGCTCTGGGCATTTCCATTTACTCTCTCCTATGCCCAAAATGCATTCCCATTTCCTGGCTTCTGACTTCCTTCACATCTCAGCTCAAATCCTACCTTCTACAAGAAGCTTTTCCCAGTTCCCTCTACTGCTGGTTCCTTCTCTCCAAGGTTGCCTCCCATATATCTCTCTATATATTGTATGTATGTAGTGGTTTGCATGTTGTCACCTCCATTAGCATGTGAGTCCTCGAAGGCAGAAACCATGTTTTTACCTTTCTATCCCCAACACCTAGCACAGTGCTTCATATATAGTAAGCACTTCACAAATGTTCATCTGACTCACTCCAAACAGATTGTCAGTAGCTATAAGAATCATTTGTTAACATATGCTATGATTCTTTTCTGCTTAGCATTCCTTTTTATGAGTAGGAATGCATTATATTTCCTATAGTCGATTCATCTTGTACAGTGAATACTTCTCTCCTTTGCAGGAAAACTCTAGATTTGTGAGCCATAATCTAATTTGCTATAATTAGCATCTGTTGTTCAGTTGTGTTGGACTCTTGCTGACCCTGTGGACCATAGTACACCATTGCTGCCCTCCATGTTTTCTTGACAAAGATACTGGAGTGGTTTCCCATTTCCTTCTCCAGTGAATTAAAGTAGAGGTTAAGTGACTTGCCCAGGGTCACACAGCTATAAGTGAGGCCACATTTGAACTAAGGTCTTCTTGACTCCAGGAATCTAGGATGCTAATATAATATTAGCAGTAGGACAATGAGGGGTTATGTGAGAAAAGAAACCTTACTCTCTCTAATTGGAATTAGGCTTCCCCAGAACTGGAGCTGTTGCAATCTGAGAGATTTAGACTCCTCAAGGACCAGAGTATAGGACAGGGTCATGTGAAATGAATTCACAGACTCAAGCATTCTTTGAGTCAAGGTGACAAAGATTTATTGTTGTGCTATACAGCGGGCAAGGATTCTCAAGGAAGCTGCCATGGTGGGCAGAGCTCCTTAGAGAACTTGCAACCTAACAGGAATAATGCTAAAGCTTATACAGGAAAAGCAGTGCATTATGTGCCAAGTATGCTAATGAAGTGATAACATACAACCTTGGTCACAGGCGTCATTCACTACTGCAAACAGGTGAGAGAGGGGAAGAGAAGGTTCCTAAAGGGTATATTTTTTGGTCTGTCATGTCTGTAACAAGATAATTTCAGGAATTGACATCTGTAGCTTGACCTCTGGATTGTATACAGTAACTGTGGGAATCAGTACTCGATAGTTCTGCTGGTACAAGATAGTCCTGTTCATACAAGGGAAATTCTACAGAGGTCAGCTTGTTCTTACAACAGGGAGAGACGGTTTGCCTCACTGGGCCCAATCATGAGTTATTGCCAGAGATAGGGTCCTTGGCCTGGAGGGAAAATGTCAGGGATAGCGTTTCTGAGGCCAGAAAGAAATTGGGATCCAAGCACAGGCACCCAAGCACCCCATCGGAGCCATTCCAAACACTATGTCTGGGTAGAAAAAAACCTAACTCTAACCTTCATTGCTCACCAAGCTGTACTCATGCCCCAGAAAACTTTTCATCCTGGAAGATCACTTCTACACTGGAATTCACATTCTGAAAACACTTTCTGTCCCTGAACACTCTCTCTCTCTCTCTCTCTCTCTCTCTCTCTCTCTCTCTCTCTCTCCTCTCTCTCTCTCTCTCTCTCTCTCTCTCTCTTTTTCTCTCTGTCTCTCTCTCTCTTTCTCTCTGTCTCTCTCTTTTTCTCTCTTTCTCTTTTTCTCTCTCTCTCTCTTTCTCTATTTCTCTCTCTCTGTCTCTCTCTCTCTTTTTCTCTCTGTCTCTCTGTCTCTTTCTCTCTGTCTCTCTCTCTCTCTGTCTCTCTCTGTCTCTCTCTCTCTGTCTCTCTCTGTCTCTCTCTCTCTGTCTCTCTCTCTCTGTCTCTCTTTCTCTCTCTCTCTCTCTCTCTCTCTCTCTCTCTCTCTCTCTCTCTCTCTCTCTCTCTCTCTCTGTGATTGGAGAGCAGAAGGCTCCTAAACATTTAAGAAGATAGCCCAGGGCATCCATCTATTTATTTCCTGCCAGGCTGCATTCCTCTGGACTTAGCTTTTCTGCCCCCATGGGTGCCAGGTACTATCTCCATACTCCTCTCCCCTTTTCACCTTCCTTTTATGTATTGTCTTCCCTTGCAGAATGTAAGTTTCTTGAGGGGAGGGATTGTCTTTCATTTTGCTTATAGTTATATTCCCAATGCTCAGCCCCAGTGCCTGGCACATGGTAAGTGCTCAATAAATGCCTGTTAACTGGCTGAGAACAGGGAGAAACAATTGTCCCCTTCTCCTGTTGGCCCAGTAGTGTTGTCTCAATGATAGACTTGTGCTACTTAACATGTCAGAACTAGAAGCAATGGGAAACAAATTTAGGTTTAATGTAATGGAAAATTTCCTAAGAATTATCCCAAAGGGAAAAAAGATGCTCGGTAGATAGTAGGTTCCTCTTCACTAAAGGTCTTCAAGGAAAGTCTGAACAACCAATTGTTGGGCTTGTTGCAGAGGAAACTATTTTTTAAGTATGTGTAGGACAAGAACACCTTTGAGATACTCTTCAATTCTGAAATTCTATGTGATTAAAATTAAAATGCACATCTTTCCTCTCTGTTAACAAAAGTTAAACTCCCAAAGTGAAAAAGGATACCCACTCTCAACAACAATCACTTCACTAAGCAGTTGGGCTGAATTATTTAGGTAATCTACTTTGATGGGGCTTTCTCAGGCACTTGTTGGAAAGATTCTGCTGTCAATATAAAATATATCTGAGAAGACATAGTAATTGATGCAGAGTAAAGTAAGAAGAGCCAGGAAAACAATGACAGCAATGGAAATGAGAAAGGAAAAAAAAGAAAAAGGAAAGTGAATTCTGCATATTTATAATGACCAAATTTGGCACTGGAAAAGAGATTTTAAAATGCACATCTTTCCCTCGTAGAGGTGGGGGATTATATACATGAAACTATGCACATACTTCAAGACTTGGTAGATGTTTTACTTATTTTTGCTATTTGCATTTTTAAATTTCTTTTCTTAGTTTAATCTTTTTTTACAAGTAATGGCTTACTGGGTAAGGAGGGGACATATTTGAAAATGGAGGTGATGTAAAAACAACAAATTTTTAAAAATTGAGGTCAAGAAATAAATCAAAATGAATGGCTTAAATTTCAATTTTCATGGCCTCCTAGGAGTTCTTTATGTTTTTTAATTCTTTTTTCCCAATTATATGTAAAAATAATTTTTAACACTTTTTTTTTTAATTTTGAGTTCTAATTTTTTCCCTTTCTCCCTCCCCTCACATCTTCCTGAGATGGTAAGCAATTTGATATAGTTTGTACATGTTGCAATTAATTTTAGAGGCTAATTTAAGATACCTCTATTCTTAGGACAAGTTTCCTGTTTTCAAAAATAAGCCTGAATTAGGTTTGTGATTGTTTTTAACTGTATCAATAAACAGAAGAAAAATGTTAAAGAAAAAGCAGTGGACTGGAAGTTTGAAAACCTGGATTCACATCCCATTTCCTCTACTGGGTGACCTTGAAGTAAGTGCCTTCACCCTAGAGACACTTCAGAGAAACAGAAAGAGCCTTGACTCTGGAATCAGATCTTATTAGCTGTGTGACCCTGAGCAAATCACTTAACTTCTCCAGGCATCAGTCTCCTCCTTTGTAAAGTGAGGTGGCTGCATTTGACGGTCTCCAAGATCTCTGTTAGCTCTAAATCCATGATAATATTAACTAGCACTCATAAAGAAGTTAAGATTTGCAAAGCACTTTACAAATATTATCTCATTTTATCCTCCCAACAACCCTGAGAGGTAGGTGTTATTATTATCCCCATTTGTACTGATTAAGGAACCAAGGTAGTCAGGAGTAGTCCAAGAGTTACCAAGTGTGAAAAGGGTGGATTTCAACCAGCGCTCTATGCACCACACCACTAAGCTCCCTTAATGAAGCCAGAGACCTAAGTTCGAATCCTGACTTTACACACTAACTGGGCGACCCTGGGTGAGTCACTTCCCCTCCTCTGTGCCTCAGTGTTCTCATCTGTAAAATGGCCTACAAAGGGCATTCCAGCTCTAGAGCTAGTATCTCCTGAGTCTTAGCTTCCTCCTGTGTAAAGTGAAAAGGAAGGATTGCTCTGTGAAGTCCTCTCCTAGTGGTAAAATGCTAAATCTACAGGTGTCTCAGCCCAGCCTCCAGAGGCCGATAAGCAACCTAAGCCACAGGGCCCTCCCGCTGAGGCCCCAATCCCCCCACCCACCCCTCGTCTGACGGGGTCACGTGACAAGCGGCCTCTCATCCCTTTCCACAGGACACCCCCATTCGCCCAGGAGCTGCAGCGAGGAAGGCGCCGGGCGGAAGTGACGCGAGCGGGTACCGGAAGTGGACTGCGTTTCCCCCTCTCGGTGTGTCCAGGTTGAGCTTCCCACCCCCTCAATCCCCGAGTTCAGTGGCGGTTCTCCGGGAGAGTCAAGATGTCGATTGAAATCGAGTCGTCAGAGTAAGTGCCGGGAACTGGGGAAAGGCGAGGGTCGAGAGGGGTCGGGCCCCGCGAGAGGGGAGAAGGAGGCGGGAGGGCAGAGACGAATCCTGCGGCCTGGAGTCCAGAGCCGGCCCGGAGTGAGCCTCCCCCTCGCCCCCACCTCCGGCGGCTCGCTCCCGCCCCTCTTTGCGGTCCTCTTAATCCGCTAAGAGAAATTACCGAAAACCCTAGGGTCGTGGGGCAGAGAGCCTGGAAGGAACCCCATAATGCCCTCTGGTCCGATATTTTCATCTTACATATGAGGAAACTGAGGCCAGAAGCGGGCGTGACTTGCCTACGATCACGCATGGGTCGTCCCCCCCCAGCCTTCTTCCCGCTGCCCCTCCCCAGCCCGTGGCACTGATGACCCCTGGGCCTCTGTACCAAGGCTCTGTGTGAGGATTCAGCCAGCCCTTTCTGAGGGCTGTCTGTCATCGTAGTTTACAAGTGCGTTCATCTGCCTCCTTCCCACACTCTTAACATAGTTGAGAGCTAACTAATAATAAAGCACTTTGTATTAATAAAGCATTTTTGTATATTAAGGTAGAGGGAGCAAGTCTAAACTTGTACATATACAGTGATAAATAATTCAAAAGCGAGTGGTGAAGACACTAAGGTAGGAAATAGAAATAGCGTTGTTGATTTATGTATTTGTGGTTCTTAACAAAAATACCTTTCAATTCCTGGACAAGCACCACCCTGGCTAGCGAATTCCCTAGAGCATGAATCTGTTAACCTTAAGGTTATGTGTTGCTTTTTTTTTTTTAATGAGAAGCAACATGATACAGAGGAAAGAGCACCGGACTTGGAATCTGGAAGTTAGTTCCAACCCCATTTCAGTTTCTTGCTAGTGTGTTAACCGTGAGCAAGTCATTTAACCTCTCTGAACTTCAGTTTTATCATCTGTAAAATTAAGGGGTTGGGTTTAGTCATCTTCATGCCCCTTTACAGCTCTAAATCTGCAATTTCTTCTTTTTTTAGTGTTATACGTCTCATCATGCAGTACTTGAAGGAAAATAGTTTACATCGAGCCTTAGCCACTTTGCAGGAAGAGACAACTGTGTCACTGAATACTGTGGACAGCATAGAGAGTTTTGTAGCAGATATTAACAGTGGTCATTGGGATACTGTTTTGCAAGCTATACAGTCCCTGAAATTGCCAGACAAAACACTGATTGACCTCTATGAACAGGTAAAATTTATGTTTATGTTCTTTTAGCATGATTCATCCCCTTTGAAATACATAGTGGTATGAGTATGTTCAGGCATGAATGCCATTCCATTTTTATTTCTCTAGTAGCAAAAGATCCAAAGGAGAATTCTTAACTCAGTAATAAAATTGCCTGTATTCAAGACATTTAACTTTTATTAAAATTTTCTCCCTTCTCTGGTCAGTATTCTATCCTTCTGCCTCTACCACTGTCCCTCTGCTCCTAAACTTGTTCTTCATCCTCACTGTGATGCTGGTCCTTCAGTCCCTCTTAGTTCTCCCAGTTATTCACCCTTATTCAGGCCACATTTCTCTCTCCCACAGTTTTAGCCCTATGTAAACCAGTTCACTGATCTGCACCTTTAAATACCGTTTTCTTAAGCCCATTGTTCTCAACTCAACCCTGGTCACTCCCATTCCTCTTTACCTACTCCAGAGCTAATGGATGTTGCTACGGAAAATAGTGAAACTGTATAGACCGAATCTACAACAAACGTATATTATTTAACCTCTGCTGAGCATTCAAACACTGCACAGCTATCCTTTTCTTTCAATAGCTGTTACAAACCTTCTCAAGCTTTCAGCTTCTCCCCTAATACCTCTCAAAAGTTAAGCATCCTCATTGTTTCTTCCACACCTCAGAACACTCATCCTCACCTCCTTTTTTCAGGTCTCAAGAGAATGAAGTGATCCTTCTCTTTGTAAAGGTTAATACCAAAATCTGTTTCTTTGATCCTTTTTCCTCCAGCTTATGCCAGTAGTTATTGTGTCTCACATCTTCAGTTTCTCCCCATTGCCTAGCTTTTTCCTTGTTACCTACAAACATGTTCTCCCCCACCTTCCCTAATCTTGCGGTATCTGAAAATTGCCATCCAAACATCCAAATCTCTCCTCCCTTTCCGTTCTGAAAGTGCTGAAAGATACACTACATTTGCTTCCACCACTTCCTACCCATTTTCTCCTCAACCCCTTACAGTCTGGCTTTCAAGTTTCACAGTTCTGCCTTAAAAATCACTGTTAAGACTCTCTCAAAGATCCCTAATGGCCTTTTAACTATTAAATCCAGTGGCCTCTTGTAAACACTCATTCTTGACCGCTATACTATCTGCTCTCATGGATTGTCCTTCTAAATTCATGTGCTTCTCTTAGTTTCTACTCTCTCAGCCTTCATCCTCCTTTTCTGACCAGAAAAACCACAACCTTAGAGTTGGAAGGTACTTCAGAGTCCATACCAGCAATACAAAATATTAGGAAAACTACAAGTATAGTTTATCATATTAACAGCAAAAAATAAAATTCATATATTCAGCGACAGAAAAGGCTTTTGACAAAATGCAACATTTCCTGTTTAAAACACTAGAAAGCATGGGAATAAATGGGGCTTTTCTTGAAATGATGAGTAATATCTATCTAAAACCAAGATCGAGCATTATTTGTAATAAGAATAAACTAAGACGCCTTTCCATTAAGATCAGGGGTGGAGTAAGGATGTCTCTTATCGCCATTACTATTCAGTCTTGTTGTAGAAATGCTAGCTATAGCAATAAGACAAAAAGATCTTGAAGGAATACATATAGGCACTGAGGAAACCAACCTATCACAGAGAACCCTAGAGAGTCAACTAAAAAGCTAATTGAAACAATTAACAACTTCAGCAAAATTGCAGGATTTAAAATAAACCCACACAAATCATCAGTCTTTCTTTATGTTGCTAGCAAAACCCAGCAGGAAAAGAAAGAGGAATTCCATTTTTTAAAACTACTAACAATATAAAATACTTGGGAGCCTGCCTGGGAAGACACATTGAATGGACACTATCATAAAATACTCTTTACTCAAATACAGAGCTAAATAATTGAAGAAATATGAATTTCTTATTATTAATTAGTAGCCTGCGCCAATATAATAAAAATGACAATACTACCTAATCTAATTTATTCAATGCTATACTAGTCAGATTACCAAAGATAACTTTAAAAAACAGTGGGTATACTATTTAAATTTAAAGTGTGATATATGCAAATTAGTGGAACATGAAAGAAATTACCTGCTAGATCTCTGGATGAGGAAGAGTTCATGATGAAACAAGAGATAGAGAAGTCACAGGAAGTAAACTGGATAATTTCAAGAAGAAAATGATTCACCCCTTCTTCATTCTTATGTAGGCCATTCCTTCTCATTTTTTTTTCTGGTTTATGCTCCTCCTCCTGGCTTTTTAAATATTCCCCCAGTGCTTTGTCCTAGGCTTTTTTCTCTTTCCTTTCTACATGCTTTGCTTTAGTGATCTCATCTGCTTCCATGGGTTCATTTATCACGTCTATGCAGTTAATGTCAAATCTGCATAACCCTAATCTCTTCCCTGAGTTCCTCAGTCCTACATATCCATCTGCCTAATGGACATCTTCACTGAATGTCCCACCTCAAATTCAGCTTGTCCAAAACTGAACTAAAAATTCCGTCACCACCATCCCCATCCCCAAACCCATCTTCCTCTCAACCTCCCTATTTCTGTTGATAACATTATCTTCCCAATCACCTAAGCTAAAAATCTCCTAGACATCTTTGACTGTTTCTTCTCCCCCATCCAGTCGTTTGTCAAGTTCTGTCATATCTACCTCCCAAGTATTTCTGACATTCATCCTTTTTTCCCCATTTTTACCATCAACACCCTAGTTCAGACCCTTATTACCTCTAGCCTTTACATAATGGGCTTTTCACTGATTTGCTTCTGTTCTCTCGCCTCTGTTTAAACTATCCTTCACATAACTGCCAAAATAGCCTTCTGAACGCTCAGGTCCAAACATGTCACTCCTCGGCTCAAAAGTCCTACAGGATAAATTACACACGCCTTGGCCTGGCATTTAAGGCCTTCCACATTAGGCCTGTAGTCTTCTTTACTAGCAGTTTTTCACATTACCTCCCTCAGGTACTATACTTCGCAATCTAGCACGGTGTCTATCACATAGTAGGCACTTAATAAATGTTGGTTGATTTATCATACTGGAAAGATATTCTCCAAATTCAACATGCTGCCTCTCACCTCCATGCTTTGCAACAGGTCTTTTATTTAGCATGTACTCCTTCCTCATCCATGTCTTTCAAAAACTTCTTACTGTAAGGTCTAACCCATCTCAACTTTCTCATCTCCCAACCAAAAGTGTTATCTCCCTACTCAAATATTATTAAAGCACTTTGGTTCCCTCCTTTGCCCCCATCACTCCCTACCTTGTGTTTTCTTTATTTACGTACCCGTTATGGCCTACCAGCCACACCACCACGCTGCACAGCATACATGTGCACATGCACGCACCCACACTTCACTCACCTCCAGGAGAATACAATGTCTTTGAGAATAGGGGCTGGGTTTTTTTTTGTCTTTGTATCCCCAGCAGGTACCTAGGATAGTGTTGCACGTAGTAAGCACTTAATAAGCTCCTTAAGGTCAGGACCTCTTTCACATTTGTCTTTGTGTTATGCTTAATAAATGTTTGTTGATTGAATTGCTTAAAGTAAAAATGGAGAAGTTGCTTCATATCTCTTTTACTATTATGAGTACAGTCATTACCAAAAGGAAATCCTTAATGTTGATGGCTGCTCAGTAATCAGGGGGTGGTTGCTGAAGGTTGGGGTGGCTGTGGCAGTTGCCTAAAATAAAAGGACAACAACAAAGTTTGCCGCATGGGTTGACTGCTCCTTTCACTTGAACACTTAGAGGCCATTGTACGGTTATTAATTGGCCTGATTTCAATATTGTGTCTCAGGGAATAGGGAGGCCTCGGGAGGAGAGAGAGAGAGGGAGCTGTCAGAGCACACATTTATCAGTTGAGTTCACCCTCTTACAATGTGGGCACAGTTTGTGGTGCACCAAAACAATTACAATAGTAACTTCAAAGATCACTGATCACAGATCACCGTAACAGATATAATAATAATGAAAAAGTGGGAAATACTTCAAGAATTACCAAAATGTGACACAAACACAATATGAGCACGTGCTGTTGGAAAAATTGCTTTGATAGACTTGCTTGATACAGAATTGCCACAAACCTTCAATTTGTAAAAAACACAATATCTGCAAAGCACAATAAAGCAAAACATAATAAAATTATGTATGCCTGTATCTATATGCCGAAAGGAAGGAAAACCAGTAGATAAAAAATGATAGCTGAAGATTGCAGAATTTAAACAATGGTATAGTCACTTTTGTAGGCCAACCAGGTAAAAGAAAAATTTTAATTTCCTAATAACTGATGATCTCTTAGCAATATTTTTAGTTCAAAAATGTAACTGAAATTTTTAGCTATAAGAAGTCCTTGAAAATGCTAAATCTTTCTTTCTCATAATTGTCTAGGTTGTCCTGGAATTAATAGAACTTCGTGAATTGGGTGCTGCCAGATCTCTTCTGAGACAGACTGACCCCATGATCATGTTAAAACAAACTCAGCCAGAGAGATACATTCATCTTGAGAACCTCTTAGCCAGGTCCTATTTTGATCCTCGTGAGGTATGCTTGTAACATTGAAAATATTAGCAGATCTGTTACCTCGTTAATTTGAAGACTACAAAAGGGTGTTAGATTGCAAGGGACCTTAGCAATAATCTAACGTTTGTAGTGGTTCTTAACCTAGTGTCCATAAACTTTTTTAAAAAATATTTTGAAGGGGCATCTAGGTGGCGAAGTGGATAGAGCACCAGCCTTGGAGTCAGGAGGACCTAAGTTCACATCCAGCCTCAGACACATAACACTAGCTGTGTGATCTGGGCGAGTCACTTAGCCCCCAATTGCCTCACCAAAAAATAAATAAATATATTTATGTATAACTGTATTTTAGTATCATTGGTTTGCTTTATGACATTATACATCTTGTTTTATTCATTTAAAAACATTCTGAGAAAGGGCCCTTTGGCTTCAGTAGACTGTTAAAGGTGAGGGAGAAGAGTCCATGACCAAAAAAAAAAAAAGATTAAAATCCACTCCTTAATTTAACAGATAAGAAAAAGTGAGGCCTCTATAGATTATATGATTTTCCTAAGGTCACATAAATATAAAGAGGCAGAAATTCAGCACTTTTGAATCCAAGTTCAGTGCTCTTTCCATGATGCCCCTAGAAATTTGCATCACTTAGGTTCTTTTTTTATCTATTTTCTAAATGCTTCCTTTTTCACATCAGGTAGTTGTATGGTGAGTAAAGTAAAATTGTTCAGAATTCTAATAGACTTTCCGTGTTGGTATAGACACTTTTTGAACACACTTTTTTGGAGGGATCTTTTGGGTATGTATGTAAGTATATGAAAATGTGGATGCTGATGTACACACTTTGCCAAGCCACAAGCGTTAGAGTTTTCCATGGTAGTCTCAAGTGTGAATTATATTGTCTCCTCTAAGATGCTTCTGTCTGTAATTAGCATGAACATGATAACTGAAATTCAGCTAATCTAAAAGGCTAATTTTAGTAATAGTGCCTCACATTTACATAGTACTTTAAAAATTCTTTGCTCATAACAACGCTGGTAGTGGGCAATACAAATATGTTTGGCATAGAAAGGTGAAGGTTCCAAAGTGGGGATGCCAAGATTCACATGGCTTAAAAGTGGTAGAGGTGGGATTTTAATTAATTAATTAATCAATATCTCCAAATACCAGTGTACTTTCCTGCCTCTTAATAGTTTGTCTTCTTCCTTATCGAAATGTTTAGCTCTCTTGGGGCAGCTGGGTGGAGCAGTGGGTAGAGTACCGGCCCTGAAGTCAGGAGGACCTGAGTTCAAATCCAGTCTCAGGCCAAACACTTGACACTTACTAACTGTGTGACCCTGGGCAAGTCACTAAACCCCAATTGCCTTTAAAAAAAAATTAGCTCTCACTAATGGACTGGCAGGAAGTAAGGATGTAATAGTACCAGAATGATGAAGTAAGAAAGTGCATAGAAAATAGGAGAGTAAAACTAATGTACTTAAATTTCTGAGCTAAATTCAGCGTTGTTTAAAATGAATGAAAGAAACAGAACAACCTCTTGACTATAAGAGTTGGTAGAGTGAAAAGTTATCCTGGGAATACATCATCAAACATTTATTAATGCCTACTGTGTGGGCCCTGGGGATGCATAGACAAAAATGAAACAATTCCTTCTCTCAAGGAGGTTACATTTTATCAGGGTAGATAAGATGTTCATGAATAAAAACATATATGCAATAAATACAAAGTAAATTTGGCATGGGAGTAGGGCACTAGCTGTGGGTGGGAATCAGGAAAGGTTTTGTGTAGAAAGTAGCACTTGAGCAAAGTTTCGAAAGAAACAAAAGATGCTTAGAGGTGGAAGTGAGAAGAGGATAGGCAAGCGGTACATATGATATAGGGTAAGAATATGGAATTGGGAAATGGAAGGTTATGTCATGTGTGAGCAATAAAGAAGGCAACTAATGTTTAATAAGGCTGAAAAGTTAGTTTGGGTCAGATTATGAAGAGTTTTAAATGTCAAATAGAATAGTTCATATTTTATCCTCAGAAACAATAGATCAGGGGTTCTTAACCTTTTTGTGTGTCATAGACCTCTGGGCAGTCTGGTGAAGCCTGTTGAACCCCCTTTCAGGATAATGTTTTTAGCAGCATAAAATACATAGGCTTAGAAATAATTTATAAATAAATAAATAAAAATTATAAATAATAGTAATAAGTAAAATACATTCCTTACATACAAAGGAAGCCAATTATGGTGAAACTGTTATTTTAAAAAAATTAAGTTCACAGAGCCCAAGTTTATTGAGTAGGGAAGGGCATGGTAGCACTTGTACTTTAGAAAAATCACTTTAGCAGAAGGGTGAAAGATAGATTTAGAGAAGGGAGAGACCAGTTAAGATGGCCAATTTGGAGACCATTGCAATATCCTCATCTGCAGTGCAAGTGAGAGACAGTAAAGGCCTGAGCTACATCGGTGTCCAGGTAATTAGAGAGAAGGCATCAACTACAAGAAATAATTTGTACAGGTAGAAATGATAAGTTTTGGTATCTAAATGGACATGTGAGGTGAAGGAGCATGAGGAGTTAGAGATATAACTCTGAGGTTGGGAAGTTGGGGGCCTGGAAGAATGGTGGTACTCTCAACAGAAAAAAAGAAATTCAGAAGAGATATGGTTTTGTTCAGAAAGATACCAGGTTCGATTTTGGACATGCTGAGTTTGAAATACTCGCTTGACAACTGGAGATCCATAGCTTAAGCTGAAGGGAGATGAGATGGATTAACAAATCTGGGAATTATCTGCATGGAGAGGATAACTAAACGCAGGGGAAATAATGAGTTCACCAAGTGAGTGAGTGAGATTGGAAGCGGGCTCAGAACTTAATCTTAGACCCTCAGTTAGGAGACGTGATGTAGATGGTGAACCAGCAGAGGAGGTTGAGAGAAAACAGCCAGACGGGGAAGAAGAGAACCATGAGAGAACAGTGTCACAAAAGCCCAGAGAGGCCTAAGTGCCAGGCCAGGAGAAAAGGGTTGTGAAAACTGTCAGATCTTACACAGAAATCAAGAAGAATGAGATTTTTAAGCCTTTCACAAGCCAGTACCAACCTATATTTCTAGTGTCTTACTCTCCTTCCTTCACACTCTAGTGCAGCCAACCTGTCCTCTCTTTCATAGGAGCCTTCCTTCTCCTGTCTTGTGCATTTTTTGCTGGCGTGTCCCCCATGCATGGAAAATGCAGTCTCTTTACCACTTTGTCACAGATCCCTTGATTCCTTCAAGATACCACTCAGATATCCCAACTGCTCATGCCCACCCACACTCCCTAACTGCCTTGCATTTATTTTGTGTTTATTCTATGTATGTATTTATTCCATATGTATATGTTGTCTTCCCTGGCAGAATATAGGCTTCTTGAAAGTAGAATTGTCTTATCTATTGTATCCCCAAGCTCAGCACAGTACTGACACTAGAAGTCACTTAACAAGTGCTTGTTGATTGGTTTAGCAGTTAAGAAATTATAGAACACTTTGGAGGGAGAAGCTTCAGATGAATGATGAGGGTCTAAAAGCCAGATTGCGAAGGATCAAAAAGTGAATGAGTGAGAGGAGAGGAAGTGGAAACAGCTTTTTCTGGGAATTTTGGTGTGCTCGTGGAGGGAGATACAGAATGATCACTGGAGGAGTTGGTAAAGACTAATTAGAGTTTTTTCAGGGGTGGACAGACTTGGATGTGTTTGTAAGAATCAGGGAAGGTGGCGATATTAAAGTTTAAAAAGAGAGGTAGGGATAATGATGGAAAAAGATGGGGGGGGGCGCAGCTAGATGGCATAATGGATAGAGCACCAGCCCTGAAGTCAGAAGGACATGAGTTCAAATCCAGCCTCAGACCAAATACTTGACACTTAATAGCTGTGTGACCCTGGGCAAGTCACTTAACCGCAATTGCCTAAAAATTTAAAAGAAAAAGAAAGAAAAGATGGAAGGGAATAAAATCAGAGATAAAGAGAAGGATCACCTCTTCGTCAGAGACTAGAGTAAATTGGGACCGGGGCGGGGGATGATGGTGATGATGTCAAGGAGTTCCAAGATGTAGGGAAGAGGCAAATGGCCTCTCTTTTCTCAATAAAGCGTGTTAGGTCCTCAGGTAAAAAGGAGGCAGTGGGGAGGAGATGGTGTGGAAGACTTGACAAGAAAAGAGGTTTAGAACAACTTCTGGAGAGGGAATTAGAGAACAGTTAGGGAAGAGAAAAGGAGGAGAAAAAAGTTGTCTTGGTATGTTGAGTCTCGTTTTTTGAAAAGTTTTTAAGAATAGTATGAACAATGATCAACAATTATTTAAACTACTTTAAACATAATAATGTACAAGGTGACTTTATGTTTTCATTCCTCTTATGATTCTCTGAAAATTAGGTATGCAGATTTGAAGCCTTTTAAAAATTAAACCTGTATTTCATAGTTCAGATAGTTTTCCAGAGTGATAGTGATTTTAGAGTGATAATGAGATTTTTCAAAATGATTTTATCAGTGCCTTATAACCACTTCTGCCTGTAGTGATTCTCACTTCTGGCCCTTTACCAGGCATATCCAGACGGAAGCAGCAAGGAGAAAAGAAGAGCAGCAATTGCACAGGCTTTAGCTGGAGAAGTCAGTGTTGTACCTCCATCTCGTCTCATGGCACTGTTGGGACAGGTAAAGGACTGTGCATTATCGTGTATAAATTGGCTTCACAAATTTAAAAAGGTCTTCCCCCAAACTAAGTTCTGTTTATATTTCAACAGCTGATCCCTCAAGGCTACCAAGGAAGGTACTCAGAAAATTAAATAAATCTAATCTTTCTTCCTTTTTCATTAATACCCTTTATTTTTATATCACTTTCATTTCCAAATATATCCTGTCCCCAGAGATCTATCCCGTATAACAAAAAATTGAAAGAGAGGTAAAAGACATTTCAGCAAAGCTAATCAATACATTAACTAATCTAACAGTACATTATTCTGTGTTCCTCCTCACTTCTGCAAAAGGGAGGGAGATACATTTTCTTCTTTATTCTTCAGAGTCAAGCTTGGTCATTGTATTTACACAGTGTTCAACTTCATCTTCATCTTTCCTTTTACTAACTTTCCTTCTTTACTTTCTTTGGTGTTATTACAGCTTCATGAGTAGCCTTGAACTATTTGCCAGTCTGTGTTCTGAAAATTATCAAAACAAGATTCCACTATGTTATGATTAGGCTGTAGAACAATCAATTTTCTTATGTTTTAAATTGAATTTCTTTAAATATCTTTTTAGGCTTTGAAGTGGCAACAGCACCAAGGTTTGCTTCCTCCTGGTATGACTATTGATTTGTTCAGAGGTAAAGCAGCTGTAAAAGATGTGGAAGAAGAGAAGTTTCCTACACAGTTAAGCAGACACATTAAGGTGAGTACTTATAATGTATTTTCTCTTACTTGGCCAACTATCATTTTTTTAATATAACTTCAGTATTGTATCTAGTGTCTGACGTACTCCTGTCTGCTATTAAGAATGTTGCAGCCCTAATCCCAGACATAATAACTCAAATTTATATAGTATTTTAAGGTTTGAAAAGTTCTTTCCAGGACAGCTAGGTGATGCAGTGGATAAAGTTCTGGCCTTGGAGTCAGAAAGACCTGAGTTCAAATCCAGTCTCAGAGACATGACACTTACTGTTTCCTCACAGTAGCTCTGTAAAGTAGATCAGGTACTATTGCCCCCATTCTACAAATGGAAATAAATATTTGTTGAATTCAGAGGGGAAACTTGGGCTCAGAGAAGTGTCAGTGACTTGCTCACAGACCCAGAACAGTTTACAGTCAGACCCAGGATTTAAACCCCGATTTCCTTATTCTCAAGTCAAGACAATTAGTATAAAAAATAGGATTAATTTTTAATTTTACACATAGATTAATGAAAATTAGAAGTGTAAATTTGGCATAATTTCTAGGGATGTATTTGTTCAGCAGTATGTTAATCTCTATTTTTTTCTAGTCTGCGCTACTGATTATAAGCTGGCTTTTTTCTATTTTTTAATATCCATATTATTTATGAATTACTTAAGAAAGGTTATATTCAGTGATATTGCCATTTACATTATGTTAACAGCCTCCATACTTTATTAAATTTAATTTAAAAATATTACAAAACATTTTACAATCTTTCAGATCTTTAACAGTGATACAGTATGTTGAATTGATCTTATTATATTTAAACTTTCACAGTAAGATTATTTTTGGTGACTGTTAAGTGTCTATTAAGTACTTAAGCATTTTTATAAACGTGAAGTAGCTAAAGAGAGGCTTTTGTAACATAATAGATAGAGAATTAACTTGCCTTTATCACATACTACCTGTGTCACTATGGGAAAGTCACATAACTCCTCAGTGCTATAGCCAACCCAAAGCCTATAAGCGAGAAATGAGTTGCCCTTCTACATCAGTGGAGGGAGTTCCTTGTATTGATAAAATCAAGACTCCTTGAGGGGTTATGTGACTTGCTCATGGTCACATAGGTAGTATGTGACGGAGGCAGGCCTTGAACCTATGGCCTCCTGACTCCAAAGTTAGTTCTCTATCCACTCTATCACAGTAAATAGACATCTAACTGGCAAAGTGGATAGAGTCCTGAACTTGAAGTCAGGAATATCCGAATTCAAATCCTGCCTCGCTATGTGACCCCTGGGCAGGTCACTTAACCTGTCTCAGCCTTAGCTTCTTCATCAGGTAAATACACCCTACCCCCCAAAGAAAAAAGTAGATAAAGAACACGTGAAGATTTCTGAGTTGTGTTGTCTCTATTAAAACATATCATGTCATTATCTTAATTTAAGTAATGAAAAGTGCCTATATATAGGAATCAATTAATACTGAAAGTGTCTATATGAATATTAATAAGGATATTTGGGAAGTTTTCAGGTGTAACTCTTAACAGGTGAATGTGATGCCTGTAAATATTTATATAGTGTTTACCCCTAGAGAGAAACTAGATAGAATCTGATACAGTCTGTTAGTGCCACTTTTTGCTATTAATCCTGTTATAAAGTAGTAAAGTGGTTGAACTGAAGGGCCTTGGCAAAAATACAGTCTAAGAAAAGGACTTAGCTCCTGCCAACAAATCCTGGAATTCCAAAGAAAAGACCCCTTAGAAAGCAGACATTTGCTTTTCTCTCAGTTTTTCCTTCACAACTTTAAATGAGACCAACCAAGGAAATCTTAGTTTATTCTGTGAGATAGTCCAGCATTGCCAGATGGTTAGGGTTTAGATGAGGGGGAAAAAGCCTTCGGTAAAATATGTTTTCTTTGTTTTTGTTTAAAACAGTTTGGCCAGAAATCACATGTGGAATGTGCTCGATTTTCTCCAGATGGCCAGTATCTGGTAACTGGCTCTGTTGATGGATTTATTGAAGTATGGAACTTTACAACTGGAAAAATTAGGAAGGTAATGTAAATTTAAAGCGCTTAAATTTTCTAGTGAAAGAGTGGATGACTACAGATAGATTTTTTTTTTAGCTATACAATCTGAACTCTTAAATGTGGTAGAGAAAACAATATTCCTGAAACTGTCACAGAGAACTGAGTTGTTAAGAAAACAGAAGACTGCTAGTTGGAATGGATCTGTGGGTTCCTACTCTGTTCTGGGCCCTGTTTAGGCTCTTGGAATACAAAGATGAAAATGAAACAATTCCTGCCTTCAAGTAAGTTACGTTCTTTTGGGAGAAAACGACATGTACACAGAGAAGTAACTTGGATGGGAGGGAACTAGTAACTTGCAGTTATAAGTTGCACTTGAGTGAGCCTAGAAAGTGTGGGGGTCATGTGACCAACAAGATGGCAGAATAAGCACTTTTCTCCAATCCTCATGACCTCTCAGACCTCTCCAGAATAAGTTATGCACAAGAGATAAAGCCATTTCAGCTGTCCACCATGTTCTAAGACACCAAGAACTTAAACAAAATTAACAATTCAAGGAACTAACTGCAAAGAAGGTTAATCCTTTAACTCCTAATGCACTCACACAGTATCTCTTCCCCCACTGCCCACCACACTCGAGTAGCAATGAAGAACAAGCCAACACAACAGAATTCAATTCTACCCTTCCCTCTTCCCAGTATCATGGAAATCCAAAAGGCAGGCCTTTGCTCAAGCTGCAGCAGCAGCATGGCGGTGCTCTATGCTGCAAGAGAGCTCAATCAGAGAGCTAAAGATCAAAGGGAACTGTAAGAAGGGGGGGGAGAACTGATATGACTGTGTCCTCCAGATTAGGTAAAAGAGTACAGACATCTATAAATAAGTATTGTAAGACAAAGGAAAATGAATCACTACCTTATGAAGCAGAAGACCCTGTGGATGCCTAAGAGTGTATGAAGCCACCATAGGATATTCCTGGATGGTTTGAAAAAGAAGTAAGAATTGTAAAAGCAGAAAAGCGAAATACAAAAACTTGAATTCATGATGCCAAGTCTCACCAAAGAAATGAAAGAGAAAGAATAACTGATTGGGAATAAATACAAATACGTAGAAGTAAAAGATAGCCTGTGAAAAGCAAAAAACAACATTAAAAGAAAATATTATTTCCATATGAATAAAACCTATTGATTTTTGAAACAGAGTGCATAGAGAGAACTTGAGGATTATAGGGCTCCCAGAAGAACCCAAGCAAAAAATATGAATGCCATAATTCAAGAAGTAACATAAGAAAACTACCCAGAACTTCTGAATACAGAAAACAAAGTTCCAGTTAAAAGAATCCATAGATTACCTCCAGTAGGAAAAAAATCTACGCTTCAAATTTCAAGAGACTTAATGGTTAAATTTAACTATTCCACTGACAACAAATTATGCAAGTGACCAGTAGAAAAAACTCAAAATACAAAAGAAATTCAAATAACACAAAACTCTGGTACCCACCCAAAATCACCAGAGAAAATGGAATGAATAGATTTTAAAAAGTAAAGGAGCCCAAGGTATAATTCTGCTCTACGAATCTGAGCCTAACCATTAATGAAAAAAGATAGACACTCAATTAAAAAGAAGCATTTGAAACATTCCTAGAACAAAAACCATACCTCAAGAAATTATTTGCCTTTCAAATACCCTTAGACAATGGATAAACAAGAAAGGTAAACAAACAGTAGCAAATAAGGGTAACAATGACAAAATAACAGGGCAACCATTAAGAGATTTCTATCTAAATGCATACAAGACAGCAAGCAGAAGTCAAATAGAAGTGTGATTGGAGAGAGGCCTGAAACATCACAAATTAAACCTCACAGCATCCCCCACCTGCAGGTGAATTGTTACCTTTTTTAAAAAAAAAAGGACTAAATTACAGAATAGGAGAATGCATAAAAGTGCTGAAGAAGGAAGAAAACAGAGGGGAGTATGTAAAGTACCCTAATTAAGTCAGAAGCTAGCAATGAAGGAAAATAACTTCTTTAGTCTCTTGAGAAGAAGAGAGCATACAAAAGAATGGGCAAGGAAGGAAAGGAAAGAATTTAGGGGGTGGAGAATGAGAAATAGGAAAATCTTATTTTAGTGATGGCTTAAGGTACTGATGAGTACCTTAAGAGAGAAGTAGAGAAGAGAGGGTATATAAAGGGAGATCAGGAGCTTACACTGGACAGAATCTCTAGGGCTTTGGTAATTAGAAGAACCACTCATCCTGCCTCAGGAGAAGCATGTCAGAGCTTCTGAGGGCAGTTGACACCCAGAAGAGTAGGAGAACATAGACCTGGAAAGAAATTTCAAGGCAAATGGGGGGAAAAGTAACCATAGAAAGGGCAAAGGTTAATAATGAATCACACAACCAGGGACATAGGAAAATTTCTTCCATGAGGTGAAATTCTCTCTATCACCTGTAAGAATGGGTATTTCTAAGTGAGAGGCACAGTAGAAAAGGGGACTAGGGTGGGGAGGGTGAATATATATATATATGAGGCAGTAACAGAAACTATTTAGAAGAGCAACCAAAAAAAGCTGTCATAGAAGCTTTAATTCCTGAGGAAAACAAAGAAGGATAAAATAACCATAAGGGCCATAAATCAAAAGGCTAGAATAGACAAGGAAGATAAATAATGAAGAAAATAAGAGAAAGAAATCCTTTTCAGAAAAAGAAGCCGAAAAAGGAAATTTTAAAAGTTGAAGGTTGATTTTACTTGAGCGGTTAGAAAGGAGAGAGGAAGAATTTAAAAAGAACTAATAATAAGTTAAGCAGAATTTTTAACACTAAAGAAAAGGATAATAAACAAGGTGGGACTAACTTAAGACAGTACCATGTTTACACAGGAAGAGGAAAAAAATCCCAGTTTGGAGGAAAAAAATATTAAAGATAAATGGAGGGAAATAAAAACCTAACTTATAACTTTAAATGGGAATAGACTAAACAGTCCAGTAAAATGAAAAAAAGCATGACAGACTACATAAGAAAATAAAACTCACAGTCTGTTGCTTAACAGAAACACATTTTAAAAACAAAGACATACACAGAATTAAAATGAGGGGTAGAAAAACCGATTTACTGTACATTAAGTAAGTCCAAAAAAGCAGGAATTGCAGTCATGCTGTCAGCAAATCAAAAACAAGCATTCAAAACATAAAAAGGGATAAACAAGGAAATTTTATTATGCTAAAGGAACCATAGGCAACAACAGATAACAACATAAAACATATGCTTCAAATGACTTAACGTCTAAATTCATAAAGAAAAAATTAACCGAACTACAAGAACACATAGTAACACAGTAGTGGTTGGAGATTTCAGTGTCTCTCTCAGTTTTGGATAAATGTAACAGAAAGATGAGCAAAATGGAACTGAACAAATTGCTTTTAGCTAAAAGATTTATGGCTTCTAAATGAAACTACTAAATTTATATTTCTCAACGCCACGTGAAACTTTAAAAAAAATTGATATATATTACAACACAGAGATATTACAAATAAATGTAAAAAAGGCAAAAATAATTGAGCCTTGAAGGAAGCTAAAGAGTCTAGAGGATAGACATGAGGGGGTTCATTCTAGGCATGGCAAAATAGGAGATGCACTGTCATGTATAAGGAAGAGCAAGTAGTCCACTTTGGCTAGAACAAAACTATATGAAGGAGAATAATATACTTTAAGCCTCGAAAAGTAGGCTAGGGCCTGATTATAAAGTGTTTTAAGTGATGAACAGAGGAGTTTTTAGTTTATCCTAGAGGCTGGAGTTTTTCATAGAGTTTATTATAGTCTTTTTAGCAGAGTAGTGATGTCACCGGACCTATTTGTTAGGAATATTAATTTGGCAACTGTTTGCAAGATGTATTGGAAAAGTAGAAGACAAGCGGCAGGAAAATTAGGAGTTGTTGCAGTAGTCCAGGTGAGAGATGACATGGTCCTGCACTATAGTGGTGGCTATTTTGAGTGGAAGGAAAGGGACAGAATTCAAGAGATACTGTGAAAATAGAATCAAGAAGACTCGGCAACTGATTATAGTCAGATTACTGCAATCTGGCTGGAAATCTGAGTGATTGAAATGATAGTAATGCCCTCAACAGGAATAAGGAAGTTATAAAGAGGAGAAGGGGTGTGGGGAGGCCAGAGAGGAGGCAGGATAATTGGACATCCTGAATTAAAGGTTCCTTTCAAACATCCATTTGGAAATATCAGTATTTCCTCTCCTCAATCACTTCTCAGCTTCTTAACATATCACACCCAACTGAAACTGCTCTCTCCATTGTTATTTATGTTCTTAATTGCCAAATCTGATGGTCTTTCTCAGTCCTTATCCTTCTCTTTTTTTTTTTTTGGTTGGGCAATAGAGGTTCAGTGACTTGCCCAGGGTCACACAGTTATAGTAAACGTTATGTGTCTGAGGCCGGTTGTGAACTCAGGGCCTCCTGAGTCCAGGACCAGTACACTAATCCACTGCGCCACCTAGCTGCCCTTGGCCTTATCCTTCTCAGCTTACCTGCTACATTTGATACCTCTAGGTTTTCATGACACCACTCTCCTAGTTTTCCCTTCTCAGAATCCTTTGCTGGCTCATCACTCATATTACACGCCCCTAGATGGGTATTCCTCAAGATTTTCCAATGTATGAACTGATTACACATATCACTAAGCCACAACCTGGGTATTATTTGCATGAATCTTTAACCGTTTAAATAAATCAAAGGCCCTGTTCTTTTCTTCCTCTAGACTCTCTTTTAGTAACCTCATCAGCTTCCATGGGTTTAACTATCGTCTCTCTGCAGATAACTTCCAGAGCTACAGATCCAGCCCCATTCTCTCCCCTGAACTTAAATCCCACATCACCAATTGCTTATTTGATATATCAAATTGGATAAGCTGAACATGTCCAAAACTACATTTGTTAACTTTCCCCCTAAATCATCCCCTCTTCCACATTTTCCTAATTTCTCTTGAAGGCACCACCATTCTTCTGGTCTCCCAGGTCAGTAACCTCACCCATTATCATCAATTCCCCACTCTCCCTCACCTCACATATCCATTCAGTTATCAGATCTTGCCATTTCAATCTTCCCAGCATCCCTTACATCAGACCCCTTCTCTCCACTCACATAGCTACCACCTTAGTTCAAATCCTCATTACTTCTCACTTAGATTACTGCAAAAAGCTTTCTAATTGATCTCCCTGCCTCACATCTCTGTCCTGCATTCCAGTTGTCCTGCACACTGCTGCCAAAGTAATTTTCCTTAAACCACAGGTTTGATCACGTAACCTTCCTATTGAGTAAACTTCAGTGGCTTCCTATTGCCTCTAGGATAAGATATAAACCCCTCTCTTAGATTTCAAAGTCCTACATAATCTGGCTTCCAGCCTGTCTTTCCAGCTTCGTTGGACATTACTCACCCCTCATACTGTACAATCTAGCCAGACTGTTCTTCTTTCTGTTCCCTACACCCATCTCCAGTCTCTGTGTCTTTACCCTGACCATTTCACTTGCCTTAAATATACTCCCTCTCTGTCTCCATCTTGTGGAGTCGCTCTCTTCCTTTGGGTTGCAGTGCAGGCACCATTTTCTGCATGAAGTCTTTCCTGATCCCCACAAATGCTAGTGCCCTTCATCCAAAGCTACTTTGGTATATTTGTATTTATTCACTTCATATGTATGCTTTATGTATTTGTATATGTGCTTGTTGTTTTCCCACTTAGAATGTGCGCTCTTTGCAAGTATAGATTGTTTTATTTTTTGTACTTTTATCCCCAGCACCTAGTTCGTGTTTATCTCATTCTGAATTGTGTAGTCTATTTAAATACAGTGTTCTAAAGTATTTATATTATATGGTTTTTTTTTTATAGAAAAAGTATAATTGAGGTAGAAAGTATGTTGATGCCCATTAGGCAAGGCACTACTTCCTACTTGATGACAGTTTACCCTAATATCAGATATGGTACTTAGGAAATAGTAACAGTTCCTAGAATGCTAAACAAGCAGATCCAAATGTATAAATTGATTACACAAACCTTGGCATTATTTTCATGGATCTTTAAGTATTTGAATAAATCAAAATCATATGTGTATTAAGCATCATCCATGTGCATGGCACAGAACTTAGTGATGTGGGGTTTTATAGAATGTGAAAAAATTAATTATTCCTGATTTTAAGGAATTTACACTATGAAATAAATGGTCTTTGCTAAACAGTCCAATTATAGCTGCCTTCATTTTGAGGTTGTCTTAGTAACAGTTGAATATCATTTTCTTTAGGATCTCAAGTACCAGGCACAAGACAATTTTATGATGATGGATGATGCCGTGTTATGTATGTGTTTCAGCAGAGATACAGAAATGTTAGCAACTGGGGCCCAAGATGGGAAAATAAAGGTATGAACTAATCGTGTGAGCTCCTTCTCACAGAAATCTTCTATGTTCCATTGTAACAAGACTAGGAAACTGTATAGCGATATATTTACGATTTCAAAGGAACAGCCTGCAGCTGATACTTTATTGCTTGAATTTTTTAACTAGTAGACTGTTGGGGACCAGGTTGAATTCAAAAGGAGTGAACCCCTCCAACAAATTAACTTGGGCTCTAAATTTTATTCAACATTGTTGAATTAAAAGGATTCAGCTGTTGCTGTATTTTATTTAGTTCAGCTGAACAAATAATTTCTATGCTATTTTCACAGAGTTTAGGTTTTTTTTAATTTTTAATAATAGATTCACAAACAGGAATTGTTTCTTTGTTGGTTGTGTATGATAAAAGGAATGTTCTCACAAACATAAACTGTTTTTAATTTTTCTAGGTGTGGAAGATACAGAGTGGACAGTGTTTACGGAGATTTGAAAGGGCACACAGTAAAGGTGTCACCTGCCTAAGCTTCTCTAAGGACAGCAGTCAGATCCTTAGTGCATCTTTTGATCAGACAATCAGGTACATTTGGATGCAAAAATACCATCTTTTAGTGTGATAAGAAGAAATATGTAGTGGATGAATTCTCGAGAGCTTCCTCAGAGATACTTAAATAGCAAAAAGGTCATAACAGAAACTTCTTAGAGTTTGTTTCCTTTTTTGTAAAGTAGGGATGGCCTTCTTACCACCTACCTTTGAGGGTCATTTGAGCAAAGTGTTTTGGAGTTTTGCATGACTACACATGTATAAGCTATGTCAATTGCTTGACTTCTCAATGGGGGGAGGGAGAGAATTTGGAAAAGAAAAAAATTGTTTGAATTGTTTTTACATATAATTAGGAAAAAATAAAATATTTTAAAATATTTTTTTAAAAAAGAAAAATATTTTGCAAATTTTAACTTAACATATAAATATGAGTTGTTAAAATAATACAGAGTTGAGACTGGGGCAGTTGTGACCCTTTATGTCTCCAAGAAAGTCATACTTAGGCTATTACAATCAGGTTGGGTCTTTACCAGGAAAATATAGCCAAGGAATGGTTCAGATCACACAGTCCTAACAAACAAGTTTGTAGATAATCATCAAATGACAGGGTAGGATACAAAAGGTTTATTTTTGGTATAATTCCCAAGTATTTAAGTATCTTTCAGAGTAGTTAGTTATTGGGCACTAAATCATCCCCAGTATTATAACTTAAAGTAAGGTCATTTCAAAAGTATTTCTTCTTTGTGAGTGATTTCAACACTATTCAACTCTGGATTTAGAATGTCTCTTTTAAGAAAGCTATTCATGGGGGCAGCTAGGTGGCGCAGTGGGTAGAGCTGCAGCCTTGGAGTCAGGAGGACCTGAGTTCAAATCCAACCTCAGACACTTGATACTTACTACCTGTGTGACCCTGGCCAAGTCACTTAATCCCAACTGCCTCACCAAAAAAAAAAAAGAAAAGACTTTTTATGTTTCCTAATTTTAAATGATTTTTCCTTCTTGACATTGAGTGCATTATAATTCCACGTCAAAGAAGTGTAGTACAGAGAAAGCTGGGTCGAAATACAAATCTGTCTCTGACACTTACCCATCTGTGTGATGATGTGCAAGTCACTTAGCTTCATTGAGCCTCTGTTTCCTCATCTGTAAAATGGGTATAATGCCAGCAATACCTGCCCCCCAGAGTTGTGGGGATCAAGTGAGATTATATATATATATATATATATATATATATATATATATATATATATATATATATATATATATATATATAGAGCACTTTATAAAACTTAAAGCGTGACAGAAATGTCAGCCATTATTGTTGTTGCATTGATTTTTTTTTAATTTATTCCATGACAGAATTCACGGCTTAAAATCTGGGAAAACCTTGAAGGAATTCCGTGGTCATTCTTCATTTGTTAATGAAGCTACTTTTACTCAAGATGGACATTATATAATCAGTGCATCATCTGATGGCACTGTGAAGGTTAAGTAGTTTGCCATTGAAATAGTTTATTTTGGGATATCTGTTTCATCTTCAGTCTCTGAAGCCTTATCAGTAATGAGAGCTACCTGTCACACCTGAATCCATTTCAATTCAGCATATACTTTTTCATTCTTTTTCCTTTCTCTTTTTAATTTAATTTTTTTTAATTGATGGAAATCTATTTTCTCTCCATCCCACCCTTCCATTGAAAAGGAAAGAAAACAAAACCATTTTAACAAATTCATAGTCAAGGAAAGCACATTCTTATATTGGCAGTGTCCAAAAAGTTTATCTCAGTCTGTATCCTGAGTCCATCATTTCTCTCTCCGGAGGTGGGTAACTTGTTTCATGATTGCTTAAGAGTTGTTAAAGTCTTTCAGAGTTGTTCATTTTTACAGTTTTGTTATTGTATAAATTCTAGCAAGCATTTATTAAGCACCTGTGATGTACCAGGCACTGGGCTAAGCCCTGAGGATAAAAAGAGAATAATGAAAGAACTCTTGCCCTCAGGGAGTTTACATTCTATTAGAGTGAAGTAGGATGTACACAGAAAATCAAGTACGAAAAAAATTAAAGTAGTCCTGTTGTAACCATGGTTGTATTTAAATTTTGACAACTGAGGTATTACATGGACGATTAATTCCCATCTTCTAGTGGTAGGTGGGGGCTGGAAATCCCAATCATCCTTTTAAACATTATTGTGAATGGAAAGTAAATAACCCTCCTGGATGGCTGTGGCTGTCTCATTTTTTGCTTTTGTTTCCCTATGCTCAGTGCCTGGCATATAGTAGGAGATTAAGAAACACTTGTTGAATTGAAAAGGTAGTTCAGAAGTACTCACAACTCTCTCATAAGGCTTAATTGAAGAAACTAAGGGTGTTTAGCCTGAACAAAAGAAGATTTACAGGATATATGATTATTGTCTTTGAATTTGCATATTTGAAGGGTTATGATGTAGAAGAGGGATTAAGTTTACTCTATTTAGCCTCAGAGGGTAGAATTAGGAGCTGTAGTTAGAAGCTATAAGAAGAAAGATTTTAGCTCAGAAAAAACTTCCTAAAAATTAGAGCCATCCAGAATTGGAATAGGCATGCCAGTCCATATCATGTTAGGGAACTGGGTTCCCCGTTATGGAAGATATTGAGCACAGGTTCAGTGTCCACTCATCAGGGATATCATAGAGAAGCTTCAGAATTCAGATAGGGTTAGATCTTTCAATTCGGCAAATACATGCCATATGTGGGGCAAGGTGCTAACAACTATGGAGAATATTTTAAAAACACATGGTACATAGGCCACACCTTTCAAGGACGTGCAATTAGATTGGGAAACAAGCAATAGATGTACTACATAAAGCAATGTGAGGAGAAGGGACTAAGGAAGAAATAGTTTAAGATCAATAATGAAGTTTGTTCCACTTTCTTTAAGGCATAAGCAGTTAAATACAGCACGATCAGTAGCTATTTGCTATATTCATTCATTCATTCATACACAGACCCAGATATCCCTAGATAAATTGCAATGTGTAAATTATTTCAGTTCTTGTATCGTTGCACGAAGTACTTCTGATGGCTAATCAGCGTCCTTTTGCAGGTAAAATCAGACATCAAGACTCTTAGGTACATGTATTTGTTTATGCTGTGATAGGTAGTCACAAGAACACTATTCTGTAATTTGAGCCAGATGGCTAATGCTGTTACTTATATGAGATATTGGTATTGGCACATATTTCTGTGCAGTACTCAATATTGTTTTGTGCATCATTTCATAGTACCCTGAGATGTAAATTGTTTCCCAGGGTGTTGCCTGTCAGTCAAAACCACCTTATCTTCAGCCTACAAAATGTCAGCATGAAACAGTGATTATCATATATATTCATTCTTTTTATCTTTGCAAAGGAAAAGGGAATAAGGACTTGAGAAAGGAAAAGTGTTTGGAATAGGTGCTGTGGGAAACAGTGATTTTTTTTAAATTGGTGAATGATGGGGAAAATGTTTTCCGCACAACCACAAAGTCCCAGTTCAAGTTATGAAGTGTAAATCCAGAAGAGACAAAATCAGTGATTTTCTTCACTACCGCTAAGCATTCTGGATGCAGATGGTAGTGGCCACCAATGCTGCAAATTAGCAGCGCAGAAACTGGTCAGTGGGCAAGGAATTATAAGGTAGTGTAGAGGACGGAATTGAAATGACTGATTTGGGGCTCTAGATGGAGTAAATGAGCAAGAGAAACCAAAGCAGATGTGAGGAACCTCAAGAATAAGGAAAAGTGTCACTTAACCCCAATTGCCTAAAAGCAAAAAAAAAAAAATAAGGAAAAGTTCAAAGACCAATGGTTACAGTGGGGATGGAGCAGATTCAGGAGGATTGAGGAAGTTTTTAAAAGGTCAAAAGGAAAGGAAATTGTGGTTGGAAAGATAATTTTGACCTTTGAGGTCTCAAGTAGAGCTGCCTCAGGTTAATATAGAACATGACCATGTCTGTGGGTGACAGAGGTAGGAATATAGATATTAAAGTCAACAGTCCTGATCCGAAAGTAGTAATAGGGAGACATGGTCATTCTTCCACCTCATCCTGAAAGCTCGGTAGAGTAATTATAGCAGCAGCTTCCATTGGAGAGGATTGCCAAGGAAGTGGTACCCTTGGATGATAACCACCTTTCATTTCACTTAGTGCTAGAAAAAGAGCAATTATAGGGAAGTCTGTTTTGAGCAGGAATTTGAAAAGGTAGAGTTAGAAGTGGTTTGAACTTGGGGAAAAGCAGAAGGGAGGTTAGCATCTCAGAGGAGGCAACAGGAAAAAATGTCTTTCACCTGCAGTGAGAGAGGAAGCTTGTCCACATAGGGGCATTATTGTCCCATCTTACTCTGCCTTCAGACTACGTCTGGAACACTGTGTTTAGCTTTAAGCATCAAATTTTAGGAAGGACACTGATAAGGTAGGAAAAATCCAGAGGGCAACAGGATGGTAAAGACACCCAGGTTCAGGAAGATTGGTTAAAAGAGCTAGGTATATTTGGCCTGAAGAAGAGAAGATTTAGGGGAACATGATAGTTGTCTTCAAGTGTTTGAAGCAGTGTCAGAAATTAAAAGAAAAACTAGATTTGTTCTGTGAGAAAAAACTTAGGAACAATTAGATATTTGTCCTGTTGGAATGAGCTGCCCTCAGACATACTTAATTTCCCCCCAGAGGTATTTAAGCAGGGTATGATGATCATTTATTTGATTGTAAAGGAGATTCTTTTTCAGTTTTGTATTGATCTAAATGGCTTCTGTGGTCCCTTCCAGTTGTTAAGATCCTAATTCCTGACCTGGGGCAGTGGTTCAGGATAATGGAAATTCAGAAATGGAGGGGTGAGGGTGGAGGAGGAGTGAAATGTTACTTTGTTGTTAAATGTCCCAGGATAGTCATGGAATTAACCTGTTAACTAATACAGCTGCTGATATGTGGCTGAACACCACAGGGGCATTCACTTTTAAGTCACTGGTACTGACTGGACCTAGAAAAAGTAAGGGCCAGAGTTCTCAACTCAAAGCTCAGCCTTGGTCCTCAGAGAAAAAGCAAGGTCCTCTTGCTTCCCAGAGCCTTTGATCTAGGACTTTTCAAGAAGAAATGTATAGAGATGGGCCTCTTGTGGCCAATGAACCTACAGAAACCTGACTGTCAGGGTCTACTTTAAGTAGCCTTTGGCCATGGTAGAGTGGAAGAGCACTTGATTTGGAATCAAAGGACTTAGGTTCAACTCCCAGCTCTGCCCTTCATGCTAATTTTTGTGACCTTTGGCAAATCACTTCGCCATTCAGCATTTCAGTTTCCCAATCTGTAAAATACAAGACTTGGAATATATATATAATTTTTAATCTCCCAACTCTCTGGGCTTCTTCATCAACTCTGCATATTCTGTTGTGGATACATCTCTTGTTTGATTCATAACACAGCATTGAAGGGAGGTGAAAAGAATTAGGATATGTGCTTTTGGTAGGATTCATACAAGAGTGATTTTAGGTGAGCTATCATCATTTCTGCCTCAGTGACTGAGAACTGAGGAAAATACCGTCTCCTCATACCCCTCTCTATGTCATTTGTAACCACTGAACGAAGCAAGAGGTAGAAATAGTCGTGATAATAATAAACAAATACCTCCTGAGCAGTGGCCAATGTATAAGGTATGGAATATATCAAACTAACATCAAAAGCTCTTCATTTGTTGGTTTGTGTTGCCTTAGTTGTCCTTTTAAAAAACTTTTTAGTCCTACAGTAGAAGAAATGGATATGTTTTAAAACTTCCCTGTGTTTCTTCTTTTGATAGATTTGGAATATGAAGACCACAGAATGTTCCAATACTTTCAAATCTCTTGGCAGCACTGCAGGGACAGACATCACAGTCAACAGTGTTGTCCTCCTTCCTAAAAACCCTGAGCACTTTGTTGTATGTAACAGATCAAATACAGTGGTCATCATGAACATGCAAGGCCAGGTGAGTGATCAGAAAGTATGCTGGCTTCTTCAGGTACATACAGAGGAGTGAATTTTGTGACCGTCCTTTCATCCAAGCTTAGCTAAAAAAATTTCTGTCATTTTAGCCTTTCTTTTGTAATGTTTTCCCATAATGTATATAAACTAGGTTTGTTTTACATAAGATCACTTAAATTCCTTAGATTTATGAAGTATTTCTTTAAAAGTTCCCCCTGTGATCTTTATGTTTCTCTGTCCTGCCATGCTGTATGCCTTCCTTTATTGTTAGATACTCTACCAAATTTCCTTGCACCTAGTAAATTATTAATTTATCTGAATATTAGAACCTGTAACTTATTAAATGCTCATCATAAAGTAGTCTCCCAACCCTCTTTAGTGTCAGTGTGGCAGTTTTTGTCACGTAGTTCTCTGTTCAATTTTGCTGTTGATAGAAAAGTTAGTATGTGAAAACTTAAAGAGAAGTTTCCCACTGAGTAAAGCTGTTGACCTAAAGTAACATAAGCTAGCAAGGCAATAATAACACATTTCTTTCAGTTAAGTGTTCCTGTGGTGATTAAGTCTTGTACTCCCTATATAGAAATTTCCTCTACCATTGTGATTAGCATCTTCCCTACAACTTATGGCCTTAGAGAGTTACCGTGGGAATTGAGAGATTAAGTGACAGTATGAGTGTCCTGACTTCATGCTTCCAGAGGCCAGGTCTCTAGCCACTACATTAGGCTATCTCTTCCCTAATATTAAATAGTTAAATATTTAAATGAACATCTCCCTTAGTAATAAAATGTTTAAATAAATTAAGATTTTTAAGTAAAATTAGACTTTGGTACAGTGGTTTATTGATTTCAAAGGCTCTAGTAAATATGGTGATTCACAGAATAGGGGTTAGTAGACTAAATCATAGGATTTACTCACAAACTGTGAATTTTAAACTTGGATCTATCATTGAGTTTAGTTTATTCTAAGCTCCCTATGTCTATGCCTTTGAATTTTATTCTTTAAAGTAGGATGGGCTAATTCAGCCTGTCGATTCAGAGAGATGAAGGATTTTTCATCTCATTACAAATAAAAGTACTATGTAAATGCAAAGTAACATGTTCATGTCACAAACTTGCTCATCCAGAGACAGTTTTGTTTGTTGGAGGGCTGCTGGGCATATTCATTTTAGTGGCATGGTGCCTGGCATGAACCTCTGGTAGGCACTTAATACAGGCTTTTTCATTGATTGTAGATTGTCAGGAGTTTCAGCTCTGGTAAGAGAGAAGGTGGTGACTTTGTCTGCTGTGCCCTCTCCCCACGGGGTGAATGGATCTACTGTGTGGGTGAAGACTTTGTGCTCTACTGTTTCAGCACGGTGACTGGCAAATTGGAACGAACTTTGACAGTGAGTATTACAGCTTCTCTGGGTATAATTCGGAGTTACACCAACTCCCCTGTCCATCCATAGCTCCGAAATTCTTAGGTTTTTCCTTAAGTAGACTGTTTTCATTACAGTAATGAGTCAAAGAGTTATGTCAGTGTTGAACAGCTGGATAATAGAACCAGACTGCTTTGAGTAACCTCAACATTACCTCCTTAACTATATTTTTATCATAAATATACAGCCTAATAGAGAATCACTAAACTGGCTTACCTGCTAATGCTGTAGGGCCGTGTCACTTTTGAAAATGTAACAGGAAACAACTGCAGGACAAAAACCTCCAGTGCCACAGACGGAAGGAACCTTATAGATTGTCTAGAAAAGTCAGGTCAGCCCCTTAATGGTTTGGGCCAAAAGTCATCCTGAAGCCTTAAAACAAAAAATAATAGATATGTTCTTCGAGAAAGGTCTAAATGTGGTCATTGTACAGTTTATTTTGCGTAAGAGTATGTGTTATAAAGGAAAGTTCTTTGGGAATATTGTGAGATAATAACAATGTAAAAAAAATCAATAAAACTTTTTTTGAAAGACAAAAAATTTCTCATGTTTTAAATCAAAATGAATTGTTAGTTTTTGAGTATAGATATTTGGAGCTATAAAAGAAGAACATACATTTTCTTATATACTTGGCCAAAACAGTATCCCTCTATCACAGAGTTCTTAACTTGGGGTCCATGAACTTGGCGGGGGGGGGGTTGTATATTTTGATATATTTCAGTGTAATTGATTTCCTTTCCTTTGTATTCCTGTGTATTTCATGTATTTAAAAGCATTATTATGAGAAGACATCAGTAGACTTTCCTAGATTATCAAAGGGGTCCATGATACTAAAAAGGTTAAAAAAAAAAAACAACAACAACAATCTGTTGAAATAATTCACTCTTTCTGACCAAATGCACAGAATCAGGAGAAACGAATAAACATGTAGTAATGAAAGAGGAAAACGTTACCAGGTGAGCCAGATTAAGTGTAGCAGTTCATGGGGTGATGTGTCATGACCACATTGCCTTCACACTCTGATGAGTATGTAAATAACATTCCAGTATTACTTTTCTAAGAGGAATCATCAAATTGATGTATCATAGCACTGTATCAAATAGATTTTGTGTCTGATAATGAGTGCTGATTTTTCAGAAGCCATTACAAAGCAACTTAAATGTAAAGGCTGGATAGCGAATGGAACGAGCTCCTGGCTTCTTGTCTCAGCTCTGTCTTAGACCCTCATCTTACCTGTCTGCTTTGTAGAATGAGAGGGTCAGACGAGATGGCCTCTGAGGTCCTTTCCCAGTCCAAAGATCTGTGCTTCTGTATGTAATTTAAATTAGCTTATCTTGTCTGGAATTATTCTTAAATGGATACTAGTTAAATTAACCTCAATAAATTTTTGGCAGAGGTGTAAAAAATATATGGAACATAAATGCTGCTGTAGCTCCAGAAGCTTATAAATGTAGGTTTGCTGTGCTATATAAAGGAATTAAATGTAGGTTCACTGTTTTAATAATACCTACGTTCAGTCATGCCTCAAGCATGGTCTGATGTTAGTATAAGAGCAGTGACAAAACTGGGGGAAAAAACTAATTCATTTATCTTTCACAAATGTTGTGGAAGAAAGGGTGTCTGCAATTGTAGTTTGCCAGAATTTTTATATTTTAAGACCTTTAAACTTTAAAACTTTTGAATTTTCTTCAAAAAGACTTACTTTGTACACGTTTCCTGTTACCACATTGTTTGTGTACTGTTGTTATATATGGCTTAAAGGAAAGAGCAGCAGCCTAGGACCCAGGTGACCTGGAACTGTAAGGTGGGAGTGTCTGCCCCACCTACATCACAGAGCTCCAAGATGAAATAAGATATGTGTGTGGGAAAGCACTTTGTTAACTGTAAAGTGTTATGTACATACAAGATGTAAGATAGTGGTTTTATAAATTCCAAACCCTAGTCTGGTGTGAATTAGAAATCTTCCCTTTTGTGGATTAGAACAGCATCAGCCCTAAAACAAATGTTGTCATGAACTGACAAGGAGTGCGGAGTGACCGTAGACATTCTCACTTAGAACACTTAGTAACTGCAAAGTATTTCATACATGCTATCTCATTCAACGTCCACGACAAACCCTGTGAGGTAGGTGGTACAAATATTATTATTTCCATTTAAAAGATGGAATCTCAAAGAGATAACTTGCCCAAGATCCCACAGCTAGTTAAGCAGCAGAGCTAGAACAAAAACCCAAGTCTTTTGATTCTAAGTCTAGCACTTCCTTTTTCTTTAAAAAAAAATTTCATCCTAGGCCCTTTCCATTATGCCATATTGCAAACAATTCCCGTCATAATCTTCCCCACCCCCATCCCTTTTGGGGTGCAGGTCTAGCCCTTTGCTGTGTTGAAGATGGCCCCTTCAGGTAGACACAGTTACAAGGAGGCTCTTTCCATCCTGAGTTAACTTCCATGACGAATCATCAAACCCTGGATTCTAAAACTGGAAGGGGCCCTAGGAGCCATCGAGTCCAGCCTCCTCATGTTACAGATGAGGAAACTGAGACCCAGAGAGTTTAAGTGATTTTCCCAAGACAGCACAGCTAGACACAAAGGTGGGATTTGTACCATCATCCTTTTGGCTCTAAACCCAGTGTTCTTTCTTCTTTACTATCCTGCCTCTCACCTTAGGCAGAAAACTAAGCCTGCCCCACCCTACCTTGCCTTTGTTCCAGATCCACAGCCTGTCATTTTTTTTTTCTTTTTGGCTAGGCTGTGGAGTTAAGTGACTTGCCCAAGGTCACCCAGCTAGTAGTGTTATGTGTCTGAGGTCATATTTAAACTCAGGTCCTCCTGAATCCAGGGCCAGTGCTCTATCCACTGCGCCACCTAGCTGCCCCTCAGAAGAGGTTTTAAATGCATGTTAAATAATTTCATTTAAGTGTCTTTTCCCTTTTCATGCCTTCTGATACTAGCCTAACTTCAGGGTGTTATGTGAGGAGCATTAATTCATTGTGTTTTGTGAAATGATATATTTTGGGCATCAGTCTCTCCCTGGGGGGGTAGAATAAAATAATGCCCCCTAGGAATATGAAGAATAATGACTGACCACATTGATCTCCCTTCAAGAGAAAAGTAAGTGAGGCAACACTAAGGAATTCTTCTTCAGGAAAATTAACTGGCCCTAACATTTGGATTTTGTTTCGTTCTAGGTTCATGAAAAGGATGTAATTGGCATTGCTCACCATCCCCATCAGAATCTGATTGCTACCTACAGTGAAGATGGGCTCTTAAAGCTCTGGAAACCCTAATTTCATGACTTCATTTCTACTAGCCTGGGCATATGCTACTTCAGTGCAGACATTTATGTGTTACTTTTTTGTTGTTTTTATTTTTTAAGGGGGAAAATTGCCTAAATGTGCTCTGAGAGTAATTTTTGCTAAATTTCTCATTTAAGTAGAAGTTACCCTTTTTGTATATTTTTTAAAATATTAGCTGATGAGCTTCTAAAGAAGCAGGTACTTAGTGGATAGTGTGTTTTCAGTAATCCTGTAACTGAACAGTGAAACAATGTCATTTCTATAACAGGTTCCACTCCTTTTGATTATTTGTAATGCTAGTTAATATGTACTTTCCAAAGTGAAACTTGTAAATAATGAGTGAGCTCCAGTTTTCCATCACTGTTAATTAACCATTTTTAGTTTCATTTTGTTTCTTTGAAATGCTTTGATAGAATAAATTTTACCACCTGCATAGGGACACTTTTAATGTGAACATTTCCCAGAAAATGATTTTACTGATTGTTCTGATAAATGCATCCTTTAGACTTAGAGAAGTATCTGTAGGTTTCTGTGATGTTTCCAGTGGCATCAGAGAATAATTGCTGACCTTTCTTAAGACATTAAAGTTTGCAAAATGTCTTATATGCATTGTCCCTACACATGAGAAAACAGTCTTAGAAAGCTTTAGTGACTTGTCCCTGGTAACACAACCAGTTGAGTATCAGAAGTAAGATTCCTGACTCTAGTTCCAAAATGTCATGTATGCTGTATGACAAGCTATGGTGATAAGAGATTTTGTTGATAGAATCTTAAGGGATAGGGACTGTGATTTCATTGGTATGGGAAGCTTCCATTTCAGGAAACTCCTTCAGCCAGTGTATATCAGCACCATCATAATCTTAAAAAGTTACGTAGAGCACTGAGAGGTAAAGGAATGATTTATGACTCCTTTGTATTTCACAGATGCTTTTACATTCCATTCTCCCTCTCACTGTTCATTATTTCTTTTTGTGGCATACTATAAAAACCAACACTCGCTGACAAAATCAGCACTGGAGCCATGATCTCAGACCTGTAGAGACAGAAAACGAAGCCAAGGAATCTGGAAGGAGTGGCCCAGGGACAGGAGCGCAGAGGAGAAGAGATGCTCTGAAACATTGGTGTCAGACTCAGATGGAAACGGGCCTCTAAACCGTACATCAGATCCCCACAGGCTGCATATTGTCTAAGAAAACCACATACTAACATCTGTTTTATTTTATTTTTATTTATTTTGTTAAATGTTTTCCCATTACATTTTAATCTGGTTCGGGCTGCACTCTGGAGTGTCGTGGGCCACGTGCAGCCCAAGGGCTTTGTATTTGACACCTCTACTCTAAAACAGTTATGAAAGATTCCACAATTCTGAACAAGGAAAAGAGGGCCCTAGCTCAACAGTTTTGCTACTGGCTTCCTGATTTTGTTCATTCATAACTAGAATTATGTCCTAACTTAAAGGAACTCTTTTTTTTCCCCCTCAACTTCTCTAATTTAAAAGAGTCCTATATCTAGTACTAGAAGAGGTCAAAGAGTCTGAGGGCCCTCTACCTGTACTTCTGCTGGATCTTTCCACCTGTGACCCAATGCTTTATGAAGTTTCATTTCCAAGAAATGCAACTTCCAATCCCCCAGTGAAGCTGTTGCATTAATCCCTGCCATTTTTTTAGCCTTGACAGCAAGCCTTATTTGGTTCCTAGTGAACATCTTTGTGTTGTATGACCGTGGGCCTTGGGATATCCTTTGAAAAATAAAAGTTCTGAGTCACCGAAAAGGCAAAAATGTGTGTGAATAGGCCATAATATCACCAAAAAGAAATTATGCGTTAGAATCCACATAAAGGTTGTCATCAGATGATCTTAAAAAAAAAAGCTAGATGTGAAGTGAGAGCAAAGAGTAGCCTATAGCCTGCTCCATTGATGCCAAATGTCAAAATCTTCTCAGACTCTCATTGAGAAGGCAAGCAACTCAATACAAGTTATACATGTGTGGTCATGCAAGACACTTCATAGTAGTCATGTTGTGAGAAACTAAGTATATTTCCCTTCATCCTATCCTGCCCCCCATTTATTCTATTCTCTCTTTTGACCCTGTCCCTCCTTAGAAGTGTTTGCTTCTGATTACCCCCTCCCCTCTATCATCTTCCTGCTCCTTTATCCCCTTCCCCCCTATTTTCCTGTAGGGTAGATAGATTTCCATACCCAATTGAGTGTGTATGTCATTCTGTCCTTAGGCCAAATCCGATGAGAATAAGATTCACTCATTCAGAGGAAGTTTTGTTTTGTTTCTTGGGTGAGGCAACTGGGGGTTAAGTGACATACCCAGAGTCGCACAGCTAGTGAGTGTTATGTGTCTGAGGCTGGATTTGAGCTCAGGTCCTCCTGAATCCAGGGCCAGTACTCTATCCACTAGGCCACCCAGCTGCCCCTGAGAGGTGGATTTTTAGCTGAGACTTTAGGAAGCCCTGGAACCCGAGAGGCAGAGATGAAGAGGGACAGCATTCCTGGCATGGGAGGCGGCCAATGAAAACATTCAGACTTGGACCGTCATATTGGAGCCACACCAAAAGGCCAGTTCACCAGATCACACAGGACATGTGGGGAAGTATGGTCTAAGAAGACTAGAAAGGTAGGAAGGGGCCAGTTCATGAAGGACTTTAAAAGCCAGCCAGAGGATTTATATTTGATCTTGTAAGTAACAGAGTCATTGGAGTTTATTGAATAGAAACTGTGATATGATCAGGAGGTGTTTATTTCTGTTCTGTGTGGTTTGTCCTCGGTTTCAGATGGAAGGGGTACTAATCCCCACTAGACCCAGGAGTTCAAGCCATGATGACCTTGGAGCCAGAAGTGCAGGCCAGTGGGTGCTGCCAGCCAGCCCACCTGACATAAAAGCCCCAGGAAGCCAGAGTACCTGGGAAACAGGCCTGACAGGTGTTTTGGATTTGGAATTGAGACTGTGCTCTATGGGAACCAAGCTAAACTATGAACCTAATCAATCCCCCTTCCTCTCCCTAGAACCTAAGGTATATTGCCAAAGGAAAGGGGGATTATACCTGTCAAGTGTTGGCAGAATTTGTATTTGTGATTATGCCTTTTGAAGTAGTTATTCCTAGGTTAAAGCTTTTTTAAAAATATCAATTTCCTAGAAGGTAGTGGTATAACCTCACAACTGCATGGCAGCTATGAAGAGAAAAATCACATGGGTGAAATAAGATGAGTTCATCCTGAAGCACACTCTAGTCTCTGCAAAGAGGAGAGGGAATACTGGGCTAGAATTATGTCTGTTTGCATCACCCCCACCCCTAAAAGAAATATTGCTAGTTTGGGGTGAAATGGTATTTAGATTTAAGCCATTCTCTTGCTTATTATCCTTTAATAGGGAAGGCATGCTTGAAACTGTATCTGAAGACTTAACTCCCTTCCCACAAAAGACCAGTTACATAAAGACGACACCACAAGTAGAGAATATTACATTTAGCAATAGCAAATAAACCTATTTATCCAAGCTAATAGTAAATAGAAGCCAAAGTGCTTATACAGATGATGGTATACCAGACAATACATATGAATGAGCTCTCTTACTGGGAGTGAGGTATTTCAGTCCATCCAGAAGTTCCAAGTCTCATCTAAGGAGAAATTCCCCAAAGTCTCTAGGGTAAGAAGTAGGAAACAGGGACACGGCCAAAGTGCTGGCTCCTGTATGGCTTCTCAGTCTTTTTCTCCCTCCAGAGACCTCTCCCTGAAGAGAACCTCTCTCAAAGCTAAAACCAGATACCAAACCCCAGCCCCCACACAGGCATGGCCATGTAGCAGTCATTCTCTGCACCAAAAAGAGTCTTAGGCACATCAGGCTTAAGCCTTGAGTTACATAATGTACTCTGCTATCAGCTTTCTCCTTCCTCTATTAAAATAAAGTCCTCTTGATCAGGTTCACAGAAACCAACAATCTCTCTTGAACCATCTGTTAGCTATTATTAAAAATTGTGAGAACACAAGCCATTCCCCAATTGATAAATGGTCAAACGATATGAACAGACAGTTCTCAGATGAAGAAATTAAAACCATCTATAGTCATATGAAAAAATGCTCTAAATTGTTATTAGAGAAATACAAATCAAAACAACTCTGAGGTACTACATCACACCTATCAGATTGGCCAACGTGACAGAACAGGAAAGTGAAAAATGTTGGAGAGGATGTGGGGAAAATTGGAACACTAATACATTGTTGGTGGAGTTGTGAAATGATCCAACCATTTTGGAGAACAATTTGGAACTATGCCCAAAGAGCTACGAAAATGTGTATACCCTTTGATCCAGCAATAGCACTTCTAGGGCTATATCCCAAAGAGATCAAACAAATGGGGAAAGGACCCACATGTACAAAAATATTCATAGCAGCTCTTTTTGTGGTGGCAAAGAATTGGCAATTGAGAGGATGCCCATCAATTGGGGAATGGCTGAGCAAGTTGTGATATATGAATGTAATGGAATACTATTGTGCTATAAGAAATGATGAACAGGCTGACTTCAGAAAAACCTGGAAAGACCTATATGGTCTGATGCTGAGTGAAGTGAGCAGAACCAAGGGGACTTTGTACACAATAACAGCCACGTTATGCGATGACTAATATTGTTAAACTGAACCCTTCTCAGCATTACAAGGATCTAAGACATCTCCAGAGGCCTCAGGATGGAAAATGCTGTCCCCATCCAAAGAACGAACTATGGAAGTCAAATCACTATCACTTGTTTTTACCTTCTGTTGAGTTTTGTTTCATTTTTCTGATGGTTCCTCCTATTGGTTTTAATTTTTACTTACAACTTCACTAATGTGAAAATGTTTAATAGGAATGTAAATGTAAAAGCCTATATCAGGTTGTGCGCTGTCTTGGGGAGGGTGGGGGGGAAGAAGGGGGAGAAAAATTTTCAACTCAAAAGCATATGCAAGTGATTGTTGATAAATCAATAAATTAATAAAATTGGAAAAAAATTTTTAAAATTGTGAAATTTCTCAGAGGGTGAAGCTAGAGCCTTTGTAGAGAAATCAGCTTCTTGGATTCCAAGGAAGACTGACACAGATCCACAAATGCCACCAGAAGTAAAGAACTCAAGGAAAAATACTTTTCTAACTCTTATCAGGTGCACTCCATCCCTGGCTAAGGACCTATCATCCCTAAATTTTAAACTATAGCCCAGGAATCTAAATCCCATTCTTAGATATCATATTCTTAATCAGCCGTTCACTTCCCAAACCCACCTGTCCCTTTTGAAGTTCCTACCTTAAACTTAAAATGCCACATGGGCTCTAAGCTCTTCAGTTTCTTAACTAGACCTTCTGGCATTGCTTTCTAGGCTCCATCTGTGATATCATTTGTTGCCACATGAAACACTAAAGGGAGCTGGTAGCTGTCAGGTTTAATGTTTCCTAGGATAGTCTTCAGTCACTCCGGATACATAACCCAAAGCGGACAGCATGCCTCCCTATTTGTTAAGTATTTAACTGCTTTGGTGTTCTTTGGCAGGGACTCACCAACCACCACTTGTCTCTTCCCCATTCTTTACTTGTGGTAACATTTGTGGATCCGTATCAGTCTTCCTTGGA